ATAGGGAGTAAGGGCTCAGTCACACTAGATGCAGTGCGTTCCGGCCCGATTTTGGCCGGAACGCACTGCCTCGCATTGCGGCCGGCTGACTTTTTAGTGGGGCAGGAGCGGGTGTGGCGGGCCATTCGAGTGAATGGCGCCATAGCCACGCCCTCCGGCCGCAATGCGATCCGCCGCACGGGATCGGAAGGCACATTGTGCCTGCGGTCCGGTCCTGTGCGATCAAAACAGTACTTGTAGCATTTTCACTTGAATGGCCCACCACGCCCTCTCCTGCCCCACTAAAAAGTGAGCCTGCCACAATGCGAGGCAGTGCGTTCCGGCCAAAATCGCGCCGGAAAGGAAATTGCATCTAGTGTGACTGAGCACTAAATCCGGCCCTCCCCAGGGCCTGGGTTATTGTGAATTCCTCGTGTTGGGAACATTTCTCAGTGGCATATTGCTCTCTCTGTTTATTACACGGCCTGTCATTGGCCAACTGTCAGAGCTGCTGAGAGTCCCAACTGACATGCTCCCTCCTCACCGACACCATTGCTGTGGATCTGTGTAGGAGGTCTGCTGATCTAAGGACATATTGTCGCAAATTAACAAAACCGAGACGCAGTTATACAGTCCAAGTTGTGTATACACGCTAAGGGTTACGTCACACCAGATGCAGTGCGTTCCGGTCCGATTCTGACCGGAAGGCACTGCATCGCATTGCGGCTGGCTCACTTTTTTGCCGGGCTGGAGGGGGCGTGGCGGGCCATTGAAGTGAATGGCATTGTAGCCACGCCCTCCGGCCGCAATGTGATGGCCCGCACGGGAACCCTAATCTGCACATCTAACAAGAGCCAACTTCCTGTAATATACGTACAATACTACGAACCAGACCCAAAAAAGGCGGGCGCGGTAGCATTACAACGACCCCTGCTGTACAGTAATGGCCTCCGTTTGTAAGTAGGAGTCGTATGTAAGTTGGATGTTTGTAACTCGGGGACTGCCTGTATATCCAGATACATGTGTGCTCTGGGAGTTCCTGATCATACCCCTGCCAGTCATTATACACTGAGTGGCCAGATTATTATGACCACCCCATCAGTACTTCGTTGGGCCGCCTCGTGACTTCACTAGATGATGAAAGGTGATGCGAGGAATCTGACACGGCACTGTTGCCCTTCTGTTTTCTTGTACCAGTCTTGCCCCTCCCCCGTTCTGCCCTAACATGACTAGTCGCTGACGGCCACAATTCGCACGTTCAGACCCAGATTTTCGGCTGACAGTCCGGTCTTTAAACACTTTAACAACAGCTGCTCTTGAACATTTAACTAATTCTGCTGTTTTGCTGATACTCGCTCCATGGCTCCGAGCGCCAACAATCATCCCACGTTCAAAGACTGTTAAATCGCGTTGTTTCCCCGTATCTTCAGAAACAAATCACTTCTACTGTCGTGGTAAACAACCTGCTTCCCTATTCATAATGGTCTGGTCCTCCAGCAACTTCAGCGCCAAATTATAGCTAATTTGCCTACAAACGTCAGGTGGTCATAATAATCTGGCCGCTCAGTGTACATGTGCATACTAATACATATGTACATATGGAAATCTGAGCCCTTATAAATGTGTAAAAAAGCATAAAATGAGAATGTGCCATTCAACTTGTATGTAACATTGTCTACAACATACCTACTGAATCGTCTTTCTTCAGGATAGGGTCAGATACCTTACAGGAGGCACAGACCAATAATCCAAAAAGGGCCCTGAAACGGCCCAGACTAGCCCGAGCCTTGCTCGCTCTTTTGGGTCTCCGAGTGGGGGCATCTATGGGCTGCTCAATGCACTCTCCTCCCTCCACGCTCTGTCTTCCATTGGTTGGTTTCTCTTTGGTGTCATTGTGGGAAACAACCCTCCTTCGCCTAAATAAGCGTTTCATCATCGAAAAACAATGAAACGCGCAAGAAACACAAAACGCCTTCACTGCTCAGGGAATGCACCGCAATTGAAGGAGA